ACTCACCTCAGCCTCCCAAAGGCGCAGGATTACAGGCTGAGCCACCGAGCCTGGCTTATATATATAAATATATTTTTTTCTTTTTTGAAGTTTAGTGTAAAGGTAACAACAGAAAGGACCAGTGTATATGTACCATTTCTCCTTTACCTCCATTAGTAGTTTCACAATTCCTTGCCTTTGTGAGTCATTTGTATTCAATTAAACTACCTGAATGTCTGCTTTGTGCAGGATATCATACAGGTGTTGGAGTGGCATTTAGAGATAAGATGTAGTCTTCAGTTGCAAGAAGTGCATAGACTAGTGAGCAGAAGATAGGTGAACAAATAATGAACAGTACACGATGACAAATACTTTAGTAGAGGGACATACAAAGTGTTATGTTTTTCCATTTACGTAAGTGTGCTTTCACATACATTTTCTTATTTTATCCTTATTAATCATAGGAGATAGGTTATATCATCATCACCATACCATCATCAAGTATAAACCAATACTATTAAGCATCTACTATTTACCAGGCAGGGACTGGTTGTGGACAAAGAGATGAAAATGAGATGTGAGCCGGGCTCGGTGGCTCAGCCTGTAATCCCGTGCTTTGGGAGGCTGAGGTGAGTGGATTGCCTGAGCCCGCGGGTTCGAGACCCACCTGAGCAACTTGGCGAGACATCATCTCTACAATAAATAAAAAATTAGCCAGGCGTGGTAGCGCGTGCCTGTAGTTCCAGCTACTTGGAAGGTTGAGGCGGAAGGATCGCCGGAACCCAGCAAGTCGAGGCTGCGGTAGCCGGGAGCAGCCACTGCACTCCAGTCTGGGCGACAGAGTGAGACTACCAACTCAAAACACACACACACACACACACACACACACACACACACAAAACCGAGATGTGGTTCCTCTCTCTGAGATGCTCAAAGTCTGAGCAAAAGGTGAAGAGGAGCTGGTCTCCAACACTCTCCAAGACACATGGAAAATAGAATCATTTTATTCCTTCCATTTATGGCTTACTGTGTGGCAAACACTGCACTAAGTGCTAGTAGGAATAATCTCATTTAAACCTCCTAACAACTCATGAGGCAGGAATCATTGTTTTCCTTATTTCACAAATAAACTAAGGCCCAAAGAAGT